TATAAGGGTATCACGGTGTCTATGAAACTGTGAGTGAATCTGTTATTCCTGGTGCAATACGCCATATGGGTCGCTGCTCTTGAAATTAATTTCTAATTAGCGCTGATTGAACGCATGACATATGTATCTGCCTTGCATATTGCTATACGTATACCTAATGCCCGTTATGTACGATAACACGTATCGGATGGTCAGCAATCAAGCATGTGCTTGCATGTGGTCCTAACAGCTCTAGGTTATATGAGATTAAGTGTGTTATCTTTATTTTGTGAATTTCATTCTATTACAAAATAATACAAAAAGTTAGTGATATTTAAATCAACTTGACATTTTATATACGAACGTTTCAAATGACACGACATAAATCGTCGAATTTGTGTAAAGTCTCGTCTGACAAGCCCATCTGCTCCCGACAGTCTCTCTTAATTATTGGATCTGCCGCAAGCTCTTCTACCGCGAAAGTGGTAAAAAAAGGATTCTCCTTTTCAGGGAAAATGTCGAGTACACTTTGTGGGTGGAACAAATTTGTGGGGTAGTGTCTGTTAAATGCTGGAAACTAGATATATTTTCTTGCTTGCACGAAGTAAGCTGTGCTTGTTGCTCTGTACGTCATCTTTTAAAATGAGAGACAAGGACAAGATATAAATAAAATATTGTATACAGGGGGTCCCCGAATAAAGAGATATGGAGTATATCATTAAGTAGAAGAGGAAAGTCTTAAACAAAAAGTCCTGATTCCTTTTTTTACCAAACTTTCCTCTTAAATTTATAAAGAATTAAAGCTAGCCAATCAACGCACGGCTGTATCCGCCGAACATCCGTTTATCCTCTATTTACCGCGTTCTTGGATTCTCAGCGGGGTTCGCCAGCGCGTTGATTGGCTAGCTTTAATTTTTTATAACTCCAAGGGGAAAGCTTGATGAAACAAATCGATCAAGACTTCTTGTTTCGGATTTTCCTCTTCTACTTGATGGTGCATCTCCATGTCTTTTTATTTTGGGACACCCTGTCTTTTATTTATAAATTATATAAAATTAAATTTATTTTAAGCAGTGAACGGACGCGCTAAGTAGTAGTCGGTAAGGAATCACTTAAAGTTTTATTAATTATTGAAAGACCATTAAATCATAGTTAACCCTTCGTAGACACACTACAATTTGCGCACTTCCCTAGACACACATGGGTCTGTGGTGTCCTACCGTTTTTTAGCATACTTAGACTTGTTTAAAAAATCTGAAAAAATTCAGGAGAGTAGTTTGAGGTCTAAAGAAAGAGAGCAATGCATTGAGTGATGGATAAACGTTAATGTTTATTATTGGGATAATGGCAATCGATACGAAACGTGAGAAATTCATGAATTCACTTAAAAAATCATAACTTTTTATTAAACAAATTTAAGAAAGTAGTAATACATAATATGTTTCTTGAGATGTAGTAGATTAACAATAAAAATATAGCATTATGAAATTTTTCAAAAAGTATAATTATTTGAACAATTGAAAAAGTGCAATTCTTCGAATGAAAATTGGTAGGATTTTGGTTCGAAAATTATGGTAGCCAAAATTTAAAACGTTTTTATGTTATTTATCATCATTTTAACATATTCTTATTACAATAATTGAAATAATTAAATAAAAAAATTGTGAATGCATTCTTTACACACATAAATCTAATTTTACAAATTTGAAAAAAAAAATGTTTATAACAATTTTTTTTATATGTCTAATTTATATATAAAATATGTACTTACTTTTGAAATTCGAAATAATGCACTTTAACAAAATTTGTTTTCACACTTTTATACTTCCTTAGACACACATGGGTCTCTGTCGCGTCCGCTGAAGAATTTAATTGCTTGGTGACTCACCATGAATTGAGGACCAAGGTCGCCGTTTGGTACCTCAGTTCCCCTCCCAAGTACAATTTTTTACGTGGGGGTAAGAACCCGAAATATGGACGAACCGTTGAGAACTATCGATTTCTAAAAACGGCCGGACACCACAGACCCATGTGTGTGTGTGTCTACGGCGGGTTAATTATAAGAAGCAGTAGTAATGTAAAAGAGTAGCGAAGATGTTATAGGAAATTTGGAAAATACAATTAAAATGATGGGCTAGTGCTAGATCATATAATAATCAGAGATTTATTGACTTATGTATTTACTTGACATAGTTAGTTTTATAGTTTTTTACACGTAAGTATTTTGTTTTTGGGATTTTATTTTAGTAGTGTTGCACTTTCGAGGTTCTGATCATAAGGTGAAATCACTGCTAGCCACTCGAGTAGGATTTACCTTTATGTAATACTTATAGTACATTCTACATATCAGAACCGGGCGGCACAGATCACACGGGCATGTCTAGTCTACATCATTTCAATACTTTTTGTTAGAGGAATTCACACACTGTGCTTGGCACAATTTTTTACACGTAAGTGTTCTTTATTTATATATTAAAGAAGTTCTAAACACTCAAGTCTATATTGTTATAGATATAAAATGTAAATACATTGTGATGTCGCTAATCAGAAAAATAATATTGCGTTGTCGAAAATGTTTAAAGGCATATAAATTTAATTTATAAATCCATTTTTTGGTAGAAATACATAAAAATGTATGTTGTAACGTAATTTCTAACTTGTGACCCGACACCGATAGTAAAACATACGAGAACGAACTATCTTCGAGAACCAACCTACGTTACCTTCGGTCGTCCACCCGTCGTTCGTGCGTCCGCAAGCCAGGCGGGCGCCAGCCAATTCTTTTTTCACCGGGAACTGACGAGCCGGTATAAACTGGGAGTTGGGGTGGAACAGGCCCAACTCCACCAAGAACGAGAGCTCTGACGGAACCTATCGGACGAGGCGATAGCTTAACGGATCCTGTCGATTTTTGGGGACGCGTAAAATCGAGAAACGCAACCGTAGGTGCTGATCTTTGGGGTCGCGTAAAATCAGCAATCGCAACTGGATACACGAACGGGAGCGGACGGTTACGGCAATGCACGGCCGCTCAGGCTGCTAGGTTTGAGGTAGAGAGGGTCGGAGTAAGAGTCCGGCAAATAGTGCGAGAGACAGAGAGCGACGAACCGAGAACGTATCAGAACGAATCTTAATTGTCTATCGAGATCCCTTCACCAATTAATAAATTGGGAATCCTCACCGGAGCTGGTGCAGCTAATCCATGGAGGCCGAGAACTGTATCCAAAGGACACTGGTGAGCACTGCACTAAGGCACAGCACTACACC